TCAATCGCATAAATATAATATTTATTATAAATATGTAACGCATTTGTAATAAACAATGAATAATGTGTTTTCAGCGCACAAGGCACAATCTTTTAACGATATGTTACAGATTCCTTCCTTGCGTCAAAAGTTACGTCTGTCAAACATTGGACGTTTCGGTGTAGTAGCTGACATTTCTGCTTAGTATACGGGATATGTCAGGATTTGAACGTTAGCCTGCAGTCGAGCTACCCTGCTTAATATTTGTTTTTTCCTCAGTACCTCCAATAAAATGTAGAGAATGGTACCGCTTTCATAAACATAAATTGATTATTAATCTTCGTAATAAATCATTGAAAATCTTTCTGATATTTAAAGTTTTGTCAACAAAACGTAATTAAAATTATTAAGACGTATACAAATGAGTAGACTGTACACCAGCATTACATGTAAAGTGAATGTAAATCATTTATTATATTTTAAAGATATCAAAAAACTATACTGCCTCTTACTTTCGATATATAAAATGAAGGAAATGAAACTTTGTATAGACTAAAAATCTACCGTTATGACTGTCTCTTACCTTCACTTCGCTCAATTATATTTTCCTTCTAAATAGGCATACATACACGTTTTACGTAGTCTGACAAGAATAAAAAATAAATAAAGTATATTCATACCACATGAATCAGCTGGCAAAAATGCTATATCCGTTAGATTCGGGTATATTTTCTAAATGTTTTTCAACCATTATTTACAATCGCCTGCTAATAGACTCTTAGAGGTCGCCAAATTAGACTTCGTGGACAGTTCCTTAGCACGTAGTACAATGGAATACAATCCACTCGCCTTACATTTCTACCAGCTATCTGTATCACGTTACACTGAAAAATACCTTGGTACAACCTTGAGACAATTCTAAAAAAATCTACCTCAGCTACGATACGTAAACTGAACAAATAAACATATTTTACACCTTTCATGAAACCCGAAGATCTGTCCTCGGACATACAAATTAAATCACAATTTTCAATAGCTATTTATTTAAGATACATTTTAATATTATCCTCATATTTACGTCTAGGTTTCCCAATTAACATCTTACCTACAGTGTCACATACTAGAGTTTTATTAATTATCGTATTTCCTATATTCATGTCAGACTATCTCATCCTACTTGTTATGATAGTCCTAATAATATAGAATGAAATGATTAATACAAATTTCGAGGCTCAGAAACATTCACGGGTTAAGAGGTTAAAGTTGCCTTTTTTTATACACTGTTTCAAGTTTATTAAAAATCATGTAGAAGATTGATCTAAAATACATTTTATTGTTAAAAGGAAATGTGAAATATATTTTCATTATTTCATTAGGTCTATATTTTATTTAAACAAGAAATTTATGGAAAAAACCATGTATGTAATTATCACTGCAATTTTTATATAAGTAAAGTAATACAGATGGTAGAGAGATGTCATTTAACAAGCGTTATTCCTAATAGACACCAATGACGTTATATCGTCGATATCAATTTCGATATCAGATACAATCTCTCGATATTATATCGCACCAATTTATCGATAGCATCTGGCATCCTCAAAAAGGACGTGACACGGAGTAATGGCGGAGTGATGCTCAGATGTTTGAAAGTGGATATTCTCACAATTGTTTTACATGTGGGACCTTGAGAGTTGCTTAAAGGGTCCCTGACTTAAACTTTCAGTACTAGTGATGAAATCATATGTAACACTGACTTGACATGCGCAGTAGCGCTGCGCAACGGAAGATTTTACCTGCTGTATAAAAAAAAATATCATAACCTAAATGTCGTCCAGTGGCGGCCTCTTGTGAATACATTTATGGATCTTCATGTACCATAAATGGAGGATATTTCTCGACCTGATGAACAACTATCATATTCCCAGGAACAATTATGCCTCTAATTAAGAAAATTCTTTTCACTAATGTTTATATCGCTATAAACCGCGTTCCTGTAGGGTTAGAAATCTCGACTCGCGCGACATTTTACCTTCTACGCTGCTATACTGAGTGGCCTTCACCAACAGCTGTAGGGCTGTGAGGTCGTGTGGGTATTTGTGAACAAAGCTAGGGAGTTACGAGAAATAAGTACCGTTCCCTGCAAACACGCACGTCATTGGACCAACATGGACGGCGACATAACGTACGTGACTGTTGAATAGCTGTCACGTGTTCGTTCAAAATTTGTTTGCAATTCTAGGGTCTGAGGTCTTCAAGGCGACGTAAATGTATTCTCACCAGCTATCAGCACTAACATGGTATCACTTTACTAGTGAAAAATTGTATTTTCTTTTGTTTGTAGTATTCTTGTAGACTATAATGATTCTATTACAATACAATCAAAGAATTATATTTATATTATCTTTCATCCCACACCGGACTATTACTCATGTTATAATATGGCTTCTAGGTTACTTTGTTCGGGTTTAAAATGCATAAAACAAAGTATGACCAGTATTGAAAACGTCTTTACGCGAATGTTAAATCTACAAATCGATCACCATGCAGTCCCACGGCGATACATAGTAGAATCGATACATGACGTCGAAGTTATATCTGAATTTATCGATATGTAAGAATCTTGTTTTTTTATTATTTGCTGTAAATAATATAAACTTGATGATATCATATATTTCAGTTGTTGAACCTGAATTTTATGACAAATAAAAATAATTCTGTGTTTTATACCAAACTTGAAGATTTCGCGGCGACTAAATGTGACAGAATCCGTAGGACTATGGATCCGCAATGAATCGATTAATCGCCCGTCGATATTTTACCGAATTCAATATTTGTTTCCAAAAGATGACCAACTCTCATGCGTAAACTAAGAGGTTTAAAGCACAAATTTCTAAGTTTTTTATAAAGAAAAGTAATTTAATCACTTACATACAACATATTTTAAGAAAAATCAAGACAAAGAATGGATTTTTTCGTACGTGCTACTGTAAAGAGACGTATAAAATTCTGTACAGAATATAATTTTTAACGTTTCCTCTACTTCGACAATACGTTTATAGACCTTGAATTGTTTACGTCTGTATTTTTTCTCATGAATTCAATACCATCACAAACAATAACTACTTTATTATGGTACATTCTGAGGATAAGCACACCAATCAACAGAAAATTGTCATTGCATCTGGCCCTGAAATTTAAGGTTTAACATCCATCACCTTTTAATAACTTACATCAAACTACTGAATTTGTATAATGCCTTCAGCCACATATATTGCAATCAGATTTCCTTATATCATCTCATCGCCTCTTCCTATAAGAATAACTGCACATCTGCAAATATTCATCAGATTTTAAGGGAAGACCCCCATGTATCCCCATTGGATATGAAGCTGGGTGCGCCCCAGATCCATTCTGAATGCAGAGACCAGAATAAAAATCTACTCCCTTTATGTTTCCTCAATTTTTCAATTAAATATTTTCAAAAAAATATCTTTCTCCACTTAGTGTAGCCTATGTGTAGCTCAATGTTATATTTAAAAATAAATAATTCACACACTAAAACGTATTTTTTTTATAATAATATTATAAAAGGTTAACTATTTTTAAATAAGGTTTTTATAAAATTTAATAAAGCAGTGATTGATCTAAAAAATAAAAATATAAAACGTAATTTGTAGAGGATGGTAGACAGCAAGATCATGAAATACTTGAATTAAATCAGCAACAAATTTCTAGGCATCAGAGATTATATAAAGGAATTTTTTTTTTTTT